TTAACTGAATCTCTTAATTTTCCAGCGTTTGAGTTTTCACTCATCCTGTGGGCCCAAGTGCATTTCTTGGCTGGGTCATATGACAGCCTGGATAGGTTGGCAGATGAGCCAGTAATCATTTGTGTTCTACTTTGTCAATGGACACATGAATAAATAGTAACCTATCTCAGAGAAGAACCAAAGTCAAATAAAGACAATGGAGGCATCTCCTTGTGAAGTCATTGGAAGAAAATTCATCTTTAGGAAGACAGCCATTACCACAAAACAAAACAAAAACAGCCATTTAATTCACTTTTGTTTAATCAGCATCAGCACTCTTTTGTAATCAGTTTTTTCTACAGTCATAAATATATGTAAACATTTTAATGCAAGAGCATATATATATGTTTTTTGATTCAAACTGTCTTTTAAATGAAATGTTACATAATAAAAAGTAAATGGACTCTTTTTAACCAGGAATTAAGGAAAGTGAGAATACCATATTATGTAGTGCTTCCCAGACTATGTCTGGTGTAAAAGATGATGTTTTAAAAATTTTGGATCCATTGTTGACTATTTTTTTTGTAAAAATGTAACCCTCCCCACCCCACTCAAAACCTCAAAAAAAATTGAAATAAATTGTGAATGAAAGATAAAAGTAAAAGGTTTAATTTTTGTAATGTTTAGCAGATAAAATTGTTTCAAATTTGTAATTATAAACAAAACAGAGAAAAGAATTGTGAAAACTGCATTATTTATTAAAACATGCATTTAAAGCAATTAATACATTATAATAATAAGCTCTTACAGACTGGTAACAAACGCTGAGTAACACTGTTTTTTTGGACTAGATAGCAAAGTTGCTCTTTATGTTACTATTTATGTTTTATATTGGAAGAGGAAAACTTATGCCCCCAGCCATTTCTCAGTTTAGAATAAGGTAGATTTTTGTCTAACAGTGTGAACTTAGGTGTTTAGTTTCAACTGCCTGATTCTTGGATTTTCTTTAAATCTCTGTGTGTTGATTTTTAAATGATCTGTTTCCCTAATCTGAAATGTATTCTGCCATCATTATTACTAAGCCAAGATTGTTAGAATCTTGTGAGCTTCTGAGAAAAATTAGAAACTTTGTGGCATAGATTTGCTTGTAATTTGTTTTATTAAATATTATACCTTATTTATCTGCTGAGAATTCCAGACATAATGGTTTTCATGAAAATTAACAACTGTTTAAACAAGTGTTGTTATTTAATTTCTTTGTTTTCTCATATAATTTGTTAGCATTTGTGCTTTACAGCTGAGCTGTGGGACATTAAACTGTTTTTCTTCAGAGATTCTTCATAGACAGGTGTGAATCTATATGTTGCTTCATTTCTTTAAGCAGCAGTCCATAGATCTTATATGTTCTCACAGACACAAAAAATTATAATCATGTGAGATGATGGATGTGTTAAGTAATCTTATTTTGGTGGTCATTTTACCATATATATATGTACCAAATCATGTTTTACATCTTAAATTTACACAATGTTGTATGTCAATTGTATTTCAGTAAAGCAGGGGAAAAAGTAAGCAGCAGTCAAGGCTGTAAATCAAGGCTTAGTGATGATACCAGCACTACCTTTGATTCTAGAATGTCCCAGAGATTATTAGTATTTGGCTTGGAGGGATTGGAAAGTGATATTTAAGTTATATTGAGGTTTTCTTCAGTGTAGCTAAAATGAAAGATAAAATTTTGTTGGACTCAGTATAGTCTTTTTACAACAGTTCTTGTGTTTATATGACTTGAAGCAGGTACTGCCAGTAGACAGTGAGATTTAAATTCTAACCTTTTAATATTCTTTGTACTATCAGTTGAATAACTTTAGAATTAGTTTTTTTTTAAAGTTATCTTTGCATGAATTTGTACAAGTTATGTGTGCATTAGTGGAAAGAAATGTATATCATCTTTAACTGTTTTCCTTTAGGGTAATTCCTCTGCTGCAATTACTTTTGGATGGAAGTATGCACTTTTCCCAATAGAAGATGGTAATCTTGGAGAATGACAATGGAGAAGGGGATGAGTTCTGGAGAAGGGCAGCCTTCCAGATCATCTCAGGTTTCGGCTGTTAAAATAACAGTCACAGAGTTGGAAACAAAGCAGTCCCATAAAGAGAAGCGAGGGGGCTTTGTGTTGGTGCATGCAGGTAAGCTCTAAGTGGCTGTCAGAAGATTAAAATATTGTTGATTTTTTTTTCTTGCCTTTAAGTACACTGAGAATTGAATTTCACATCTGGAGGAGGCAAACTGCCAGAGAGGAGTTGGAACCAAAGAGATTGACAGTGATAGAGTGAGGGCCTCCCCTGTTCCCCTCTTGGAAGATCTTATCGTGATGGCTCTTCTTAGGTCTTTTCCAACCCCCTCCCCTAGTATCGACTTTTACCCCAAATAATAGATATTTTGGTAGTGTTAAAACTGGACAAAGTAATTTTTAAACTCTGATTTGTATTTTTAAAAATTATGCTGCTGAAAATAATTACACAGTCTTAGATCTAGTTTGCTGACTTAATATTTTAAATGAGGAATTCTGAAACCAGAGGGATTAAGTGGCTTCAGACACATAGGTAGTTCATGTGAGAGCCAGATCAAGAAACACTGAATGGGCCCTTAGGTCTCAGACTGTTGCTTTTGGCAATACATCAACCTGTAATCTCGACTCTGGAGGCCCTCGAGGACATACACAGTGGTGTTCAGCCCTGGGGTCCCCATTTTGAAGGGCCTTGAGTTTCAGCGCAGCTCGGCTCGGGTCTGCTCGCCAGGCTTTTTTTCTCGTTAGTCGTTTTCATTTGCCTGCATTCCTTCATAACCTCTGTGAAGGGAGAAGGAATTGTCTTGGGTCTCCTTTAACTTTCCTCAGACAGTTAAGCAGGTTGGGAGCAAGGTTAGTTTTGATACGGAGTGAGGAGTGGAATTGTTTCTTCTTGTCAATCTGGTGTGCTGCTTGCTCATTGATCTTTGGCTATATCTAGGCTGGCAACTTAGGAAGTCTTACAGAATCTAGTCCATAGGAATCTAAAAAGCACAGGTTCAGTTTCCCTTTCTTTCAAATGATTTTACAAAGAAATGAGGTAAATTTATAGGAATAACCAAGTTAGAAGTAAACTTGGGACCAGAACTCCTGCTTTTAGACTTAGTCCAGTGTTCTTTCTACACCATGTTGATGGTGTGTCTTTCATAGTACCCAGTGAGTGATTTAATGAAGAATGAGTATTTGAAAAATGTACGAGGTTTGAAGTTTGTAACAAGCAACAACATGGAGCTTTTGATTAGTTTGAAAGAGTTGCTTTCTGTAAGTACCATGGTGGTATCCATCCTCTCTCAGGCACACACTAGATGGTAAAGGCTCTTAGATAAGTTGGTGCTGGGGCCAGCAGTAATAGGAGGAAGTCTGTAATGGCAAGAAATTGTATGGATTAGGGTCACTGCTCCTTCTAAATTATTAGAAGGTCAACTAGAGTGATTAATCATGCAGAAGTATTTGTCTTGCCCATTTAAGGGACAAAATTTCAATTCCTCACACTGTGTGGAGCTTTCAAAGCTTTTTTTTCTAGCACTAGAGGAGACTTACCTAAATTTTAGTCATTGAGATAGATTCTTGATTTTTCCCAGATCTGTATATTATCTCTACTGTTTAGTTAATATTAAAAAAGAAAACACTTTTTTTATCTTAAAATTTTAAAGATGAAACATACCTCTACTTAAGTGGAATTTATCACTTGCTTGAGGAGAAAATAACTTTAAGCACAGTGCAACAAAGCAGTATAATTAAATTTTAGCTAGATCCTGTTGCATGTCAGTGGCTTTGATCCTGGGCCTACCTTTCCTTTGTTAAATGGAGATAGTAGCAAATATTAACCAGGTATTAAAGATACGTGGGCTGTGTAGAGACCTTCCCCATTCTTAACAGAGGGATTTATATGTTAATCCACTTAATGCGGTCATCCATACACTAAAGTTATCTGGTTAGCAAATGGTGTCCCATGCTTTGGGAAGCATTGCTCAAAGAGCAGAGCCCCTAGGTCAGATATGACAGACTTGGAGTCACCTTTTTGAAAACCGTGAAGAGGTCTGTTAAATGTTGGCACAAGCTCTATGAAGCAGAGTTCTCTTGTGAAATAGGATTAGAATTTGGGTGTATGGATTCCTGTTAACTGGGCATCTTTTCTGCTTTTCTGGGTTCCTAACCATAGCTTCATGGACCAGTTCCTTCTCAGGCTTGAGGAAACGTTGGTTAAGTTTGAGTCAGAGTCTGCAGACCCACATGAAGAGCCGTGAGACTTGGAGATGTAGTTCTTAACCTTCCTTATGTTAGACCCCTGTGGGGCCCTGGATGGGGGGATGGTGATTCTAAATTCTTCTCCTTGCTTAGAAGCCCAGTCAAGAGAGTTTAAGGACTCTTGTCTTGCTTTCTTCCTTAGTTAGGTTATTTTTAAATCCCTAACTAGGCAAGTATTAATCCTTTTAGGGAAACATTTCAGAGCCATTCTCTTGAAAAAGCTTCTGGGTGTTTAATTAAGAGTCAGGGATTGCCAGGATTTTTAATAGGCAGTCATGTATGTACCATCAGTGAGATTCCAGAGACACCCTGAGCTACATTCCAAGGGTGAAAGGATGCAGTGTTTGTAGGAATGGTGGTATTGGTGGTGGTTGTGGACAGGTGGGATGTGACGCCCGCCCCTCAACTGCAAACATCACTTAGAAACTACCTAGTTTCCTGAAGTTACTCTGGAGAATTCTGGATTCTGAACAGTAATTTCCCAAATGGCAGGAGCTTTCTAAAGGTCAATAGAAAGGAACACTCTCTCCCTGACACTGTCTGGGTTATCAACTTCAGACTTGATTTTTAAAACTCCATACAGTTAGAACAGTAGTTTCATTCAGTAGGAGGGCATCACTTTGTATGAACTATTTATATGATATTGGCAAGGTTTCAGATATTTTAAGGAGAGCTAACAATTGGTTGTTTTTTTTTGCCACTACAGGTGCAGGTTACCATTCTGAATCCAAAGCCAAGGAATATAAACATGTGTGCAAAAGAGCTTGTCAGAAGGTAGGAACAGAATGTATATGATCAAAACATATCAGTTTTGACTATAAAGCAGCTTTACCTTGAAATTCAAATTTTTAAGATTTAATTTATAAGACTTTGGTTTGGACAAAATTATTTTTTCCCCCATATTTGTGAGGGTCTTTTTTTGTTTTGTTACGTGGTTTTTGTTTTCTAAATTATGCTTAGACCTTTTCCTTCCTTTCCCAGATTAAAGTCTGTATTTTTGTAATTGTGGGCACATAATCATATATCTTTTAATCTTTGCAAAGGCATTGAGCTCTCTAAGAAGGGATAGGGAAAATAGCTCAAAGGCAGCCAATGTGTCTTTCTATGAAGAGAAGAAAAAATAATAAAAAATTAAAATGTACACTTTTCTCAGGGAGGGTATGCTGTACTTTCTCCTCCTATTTTTCACCACGTAGTATGTCATCTATTTAACTTTGCCCTTGTACTCAGCTACGCTTTTTTTCTTTTTGGTTATTGAGGTTTTGTTAAATTGTTGAATACTTAATGTGGAGGCAGGAATGGACTCAGAAGAAATATTGTTTGTTTATTTTGATCTTGTCTGTATACTCTTGAAAGTAAACCTGCCATTATTTTTTGTGCAAACACAGTGTTAATTGGATATTGTATGTCAAGTAAATATGGCTCTCTCTCAACTTCTCTCATTTGTATTCACATACTGTTTAAAAGAAAGATTATACTTTATTAAAGGTACAAGCTTTTTATTATGAATGAAATCCTATAAATAAGTAAAAATATTATTTATAGGGATTTTGTTTTATTTTTTAATTATAATAAAGTTGAAAGTTCTCTAAGCTATTTTATATTTCTTATCTTATTTTTCAAAATGTGAAATCTTTTCATTACCTGATAAGAAATGTTTTACTTTTATAGAACTGTAGTTCTGGAAGTCTAATGCATTTGGAGTGTATAATCAGTCTCAATTTATATAATAAATGAGCTTTTAAAAAATTTAATTAGGAATATAATTCTTAGTTTTTGAGCTTTCTCTTTATTGGAGCTTTAATCATTCACTTTTCCTTCTCTTTTTCCTGTCTTAATATATACTTAACAAAGCAAGAATATTTTTCAGACCTTTATTCTCTCTAGTTGGTATTACAAAACAATATGCTGTTTATCTTAATAGAAAATACTATTATATGGTAGTCCCCCCCCTATCATCAGGGGGTATGATAAGACCCCCCCAGTTCAACCCCCAGTAGATATCTGAAACTGCATGTAGTACTGAATTCTATATATACTGTGGTTTTTCCTTTATATACATACCTATGATAAAGTTTAATTTATAAATTAGGCACAGTGAGAGAGTAACAAGAATAATAGAACAGTTATAACAATATACTGTAATAAAAGTTACGTGGCTGTGGTGGTCTCTTACTCTCAAAATATTGTACTGTTTTCACCCTTCTTGTGATGATGTGAGATGATAAAATACGTGGTGAGATGAAGTGAGGTGAATCGTCACACAGGCTTTGTGATACAGTGTTAGGCTACTGTTGATCTTTTGATGATTATCAGAAAGTGGATCTTCTGTTTCTGGACTGTGGTTGACTATGGGTAACTGAAACCTTGAAAGAGAGACTGTGGATAAGGGGGGACTACTGTAGCATCAGAAATGCTTTTGTCACATGCATGTGTCCATCTAAAGGTTTTGAAATGCCTCTGTGACTGAGAGTCACTAGTTTTTATAGTTAGGGGTGGGGAGAGTAGTAACAGTGGGAAAAGATAATTATTAGCTGAGTTTGAGATTCAGTTATGAACTGTCAGGATATTTAATTGAAACTTAATTCATCTAATTTTTATAGCTATTTTGAATTGCCTTGTGATAAATGAAGTCATTTCACTCACTAAATTTTCTTGCACTTTGCATTTAGTGATTAGATTTTATTCTTTGTCTTTATTTGAATAATAAGTGAGCTATATCCTGATTATAAACACCTGCTTGTTTTAAATCTAAGTAGGTTTGTCTTGAAATATGGAATGGAACTAGTGATTAATTTTTATTAACTCTAAATGTCTCCTGCACTTCTTTAAGCCTTTGGAAAGTTTCTGGGCGTATTTGAGAAGTGGTTTTACAACGAATAATCCCTTCCCTTGGTTTCTTAGGCAATAGAAAAGCTACAGGCTGGCGCACTTGCAACAGAAGCAGTGACTGCAGCGCTGGTGGAACTTGAGGTATTGCTTTTCTCTGTTGATGTTTTATCTAAAATATTTGTGAGTTTATGCTTGTTATTCGTAAGAGACATGAAACTGTTGAGTTAGTCAGTCATCAGTTACATGACCTGTGTTTCCCAACAGTATTAACAAAGTACGAAGAGGTTCACTGGAGACTTCTCTGAGCAATTGCAAAGTTGGCCAACCCACCCCCTCAGTTTCGTGAGATTCACGAATACAAAAGTTACTGGCGATTGGATGCTTACATTTCCTCAACATTTTCAGTAGGGAAATTCCCGAGCTTAATTCTCCCCAAAGGTAACCTATGTTGTATTGCTTGGAACACCAAAAATAACAGCTGTCTAGCAGTGTCTAAGGTGGAAGGGGAAGTCTCCTCACAAACCTGTAGATAAATACCTGAAGCTGTACTCTGCCAAGTGTGTCTTATCCAGGATGATTGGTGGGTTTGGTCTCCAGTTAACTGCAGACATTGAGGAATTCAGTGGGGAGGCTTGTAAATTCACTGTCATTTTTTGTACTCCACAGTGAGGGTCTCTCATTTTTCTTAATCTGGAACCTCCAGGGTGGGTTTGTCTTGGGGCTATTGAGGCCTTCAGAAAACTGACTTCTGCTCAAGAAGATAGATTGTTTCAGTCAGTCTAAAGGCTTATACTGAACAAATAGTTTTCTGGTTGAGAAGACTACTAAAGGTATCATGTAAGACACGAAGATAAAACAGTGATGAGTCTGATGGGGGAGGTAATAGAGTAAATATTCCCAAGTTGACTGGATTGTGGCCCTGGTGTTTAGGCTCTCTTATCAGGGCATCCACCCTGTCATGCCAGGCCTTGCTTTTCCCTGTGAAAATTGCCCAGGAGTTTACCAAAAGTCTGAGCCATATTTTTACATATTCCCCTGCTTAATTGTGGAGTTACACTTTTGATCATGCTCTGTTGATTTTAATCTTTCCTGTTAAGGCCCTTAGCTTGGTCTAGTATGGTTGAGGAAGGTAAACGTATGTGATGTGCACCAGTTCTATGGCAGTTTGGTCCCTGAGACATCTGACTTAGGATATTTGGTCCTCTCCTGTTGTGACTGATACATCTTACACTAGTTCTATCAGTCACTAGCCATGTATCCCTGGCACCTCACAGCCAGTCCTTGGCTCAATTTCCCCATTAATAATATAGGGAAAATTATTACTACTTCAGAGTTGTGAAGATGAACTGAGTTAACATACGGCAGTCACTTAGAACAGTGTGCGACACATAGTGAGCACCCCGTAAGTGTTAGCAATTATTACTATTATGAGGTGTTTTGAAAGTGATATATCTGAGGTGAATATTTATGGTAACTATTAATGATATGTTTTACAATGTCAAGAAAAGGTTAATTATATATTGTGGGTGAAAGGAGAAAAGTGATACAGGAAGATGTACCTACCACCAATTTTTAATCTACTCAAAACACACACAAGGAAAGTTTTATTTAATTATTTCAATTGTTAATTGCAAAGTACTGTCCTTTGTGCAAAAGATGATGTCCTGAGATGACTGGTGTGTGGGGTCACTGTGGGGTCTGGGGACAGAAGGAAAGAAGAGTAGCTGGGGATAGGCTGTAATGGCAACTATGAACACAAAATTGAAAACTGAAGTTCTTCTTTTTCTTTTCATCTTAGAATGACTTTGGTTTTCTTAAGTCATATTTTATCATGCTCAATATTTCATTATATTTTTCCCCAGTGATGAATCACTCCTATTTTTAAAGAACTTACTTATACTTAAAAATGATTAAAAATACATTTTAGAATAGTGAATTACTCATGAATGTGTGAGCTTTATAGTTTTGAATGATGATCTGTGTTTTTTAAGAGTGTGTATATGAAGTTCTTTTTTTAAACAAAATTGTTGTATGATTTTTGATTGGACTGCATTATGTGGATAATGTTAGTATGTTAATAGTAGGATCCTGGTTTGAGTGAGCTTAGTGTATTTCCCCTGACCATGTCCTTAATTGTTAAGTTGTTCCCCTTAATTTGGGGAAGAATTTCAATTAATTATCTTAAAAAAATCACTTTTATATAGCCTCTTTGATTGAAATGTATGTTAATAGTTTAGAGGCTAAGACTATACTTTCTGAATTATCTTAAGAATTATATTGGAAGTCATGCTTATACTGCCCTCTGCAGTTCAGCCATCCTGCATAACAAGGTGAGGTTTTCAAATAAAGAGTTGAAATGTTTTAATAGTTTGGGTCAATGGAAAGATGCAAGAAAATCGGATAGTTAGAAAAAGATAAGTAACACTATAGAGTCCTTTCAGCCTGCTGAGAAGTCCCAGAGAGTCTGATTTATGCTGTATTATGGGGTCTGGGGACAGAAGGAAAACTACTTACTTTTAGTTTTGATTCATCTGTTCAGTAGGGCTAAGTCTTGTTCTAATCATTAAAATCATACCTTTTCTTTTTGACTTTGGGGTATGCTTTTTGACTAAAAAAATCCCTGTACTTCATAAATTTGCCTGTACATTATAATTTAAGTAGATACCAAAGTTGGTCTGAATTCCTTGAACACTTTACTGTGTATTGAAATGACTGAAATGGTTTAACAGTCCTGATTGGTTAGAAGGGATATTGGCCTTGTATTTAAAAAAAGAAAATTTGAACTTACTAGAATAGTGAAAAGTACACTGATCTCAACTTAATGCCATAAGCAGGGAGAGACAAGGTGAAAGAGAAGTTTATATGCATGACGTGGAGAGAAGAGAGAGATGGAGGGGGAGAGGAGGAAGAGAGAAGGTGAAAGAAAAAGTTTATAAACATACATACACACACCCACACAGATACACTTATGCCGGCCATCATTTTTGAGCTTTTCTTGGAAATAGACTACTTTGCGTAGTGTCATTTTCCTCGTCTACCACTATAGACGAGTGGTGTCATCCTGACTGCCACTTCTAGACAGAGGGGGTGTTTCCTTCATTTAAATAAGGGGTGGGGCTGAATGAATAAGTTCCTGCCTAGTAAACTGGCCAGCTTCTTCCCTTAGGGTTTTGGGAGGGAAGGTGGCTGCTCCCATTTGAGGGGTATCCTGCATTGTTGACATAATAAAAACGATACAATTCCAAATTGCATTTTGTTTATCTTCAAAATGTAGGGAAGGAAATGGAAAGGCCAGTTTGTAGATGATATTTTAGTAAATTGTTGTTAAATTGATTTGTTCCCATTGTTTCATTTAGCTATTTATAGCCATTTTGAAATAGGACTTATTATTGTGGGAAAGTAACTTCTATCTACTGGGTAGTAAAACTGATTTTCCTCAGCATAGAGAAGGTAAATATTGTGAAACAGTTTGATATTTGGGGCTATATTTGTTTCATTGATGCTTTTGAAATAGTTTTGATTCAGGTAGTGATGGGATTTTAAAGTCTAGACCATCATTTTGCACATTTCACGTGGTATAGCTTCTGATATAAATTTCTTTGAGTCAGTCTGGATATAGATCTGGATGAGTCATGATGCTACTGCTAAAGTGGAAAACATTTCATAGATTCTAATAGAAAATGAACTTCTCATAAAATACTCCCTTTATACATCGATCTTCTAAAAAAGTGCTAAAGCCTGGTTAATAGATGTAATGTGAATGATAGATTTTTGAGAGATTATTTGTTGTCATATGAGAACATTGATGAATCTGGCTGAGATTTTGAAGATCTTAGTGTAGTCTGAGAGATTTTGGTCAATTCATTTTGAAAAGTAGTTATTTTCGTAGGTAGAATACTGTGCCTTAAAAATAGTGATAAGTATAGCTTTTAAATTTCATATAGTGAAAGGCAACTTTCACAGGGTCCTTTGTTAAAAATGTTTTGTTGAACTTAGGTTATTCTAAGTGAATGCTGAAGTTCTTTGTTGATTTGATTCATTCTTTAAGGCTTCCTGTGTTCAGGGAAGTTGGTAATTCATGGCTGAATCTAGTTTATTGTCCAAATGCTTTAGCATTTAGAGAGTAGATTATATTGGGCATAAGTATTTATATCTGTCTGCTAAAACAGTCCATTGTCTTGGGATCTCTGTGTAATCCAATGTAATGCTTGCTTATAAACTCTAGGAAGATCTATTAGAAAATAACTTCTTATCCCGATGGTTAATAGTTGGGGGTGTGAGAGAGAAAAAGTAGGTATTTGCATTATTATATATTTGTATTATTACACATAATATTGTTACACATTTATCCATGTCTCTACATCCTCTTATACCCAGAGCCAGCTCTGCATGTATTTATTTAGAGCAGGGAATCTCTAGAATGTCCTCACTGTTGAATAGTCTGTTGTTGGAAGGCCACAGTCCAGACCTCTGTGCAGCTGCAGGATTAGGTCACACCCCTGCCCTGGGCTCTGTTCTCTTGGCTGGAATTTCTACAGGCCTCAGTGGGAGAGTGCACCTAAGGCTTGCCAGGCCTGGAAGCGCTGAGTGGTCATGGAGATTGTGTGGTTTGCTGCTGGCATATCTAGGATGGAAGGGAACGTTGGGAAGGGTTATATGCTCCCCTTTCCCTCACCAACCTGATGCAAGTTCGCTTTTGGTGTTTCTTTGTGAGTAGATGCTTAACCATACTCTGCTTCCTTCCCCACTTCAGTGTTTGTTTTTTATTGCAGAAAAGTAGGGGCATCTGCTTTATATTCATTTTTGTTTATTTGGGAGGTTTAAAAATTATTTAAATAAACAAGCATCTTCATTCTTCTGTACAGTTTTTTGTTTTGTAGACATCATCTTTTCTTTTTAAAAAAATTTTTTTATTTTGCTATCATTAATGTACTGTAGACATCATCTTTTCATGAGCAGAGGGTAGCTGAGAATTTCAGTGGTTTCTTGCTTTTTCCTCTCTTCTCTTCCCCCGTAGGGCTGAACACATTGGAGAGGCAGCTTGGTGCATTTATCTCACATGTACACAAGCACCCATTAGCCATAATGTGACTGCTAAGTCTGATTTTAGATCTGCCACCCTTGCAAGTCTCATTTTTCTCTTCCATTGATGTTACCTTTTCTTCTCTATATTTGAGGGAAGGTCCTGTTTTTAGGTATATGAAGCTAGGAGATTTACCTTTCTTCCTTTGTAGGACTTAAAATGTTTTCCTTGCATTAAATTGGAGTTTTGACTTTAGATGCTCATTTTACTTTTTTTTTTCAACTTGGTATCATTGATTATTTCAGTCAGAGACCCTATTTTGCCTGTCTGTTTAGCAGTATCCAGTGGTCCTTCAGTGTTTCTGTATATTTCAGCTGTTTATAGAGTCTTTATGTTTCTCTGCATTTTTTGTTTTATTTTTTGAGGTGTACACACACAGTTACACTTCATGGGATTGCGTCCAGCCAAGTATCCATGTTCTTCTTGTGAAGAGGCAGAGAAAATCACCTCTCCCAAGAATTTCCACCTTCTGACCAAGGGAAATGTGTCCTGAAGAGCTGTACGCAGATGGGAGGCAACTTGTTTGCTTGTTCTGCTGCTAGAGCATTGATTTAATTAGAAGACAGGCTGTGGGTGGCCATGTGCAGACAAAGAAGCACCAGACAGAGCCCAGTTAGCCTGGGACAGTAAAAGTAAGTTACGCTCTTTTTAAAACACTTTTTGAGTACTGATGCTTATTCTTGCCTTTAGTTAGTAAGGGGCAACTTATAACTTACTGTTGTATTTACATTAGGCACATATGTTCTTTTCTAAAGCCCTAGAAATCAAATGTGCTGTCTAGCACAAAGTACCTGCTGAATGGGAAAGCAGTGATTTTTTTCCTTTTAATTTTTTTTGGATAAAAAGAAAACTGAATCAGTTATCACATTCTAGATGAATTTTACACTGAATCAAAACTGTGTGTATTAGTTTTTGACCAAGTCAAAACACTTAAGTATAGAACTTGTTATGTTTTACTTTGTACTGATGGGAACATGAAAAAATTTCCCCCTTTTTCTAGCCATTTCATGATAAGCTGTGTGGATCTTACTAGAGGCATCCATCTTAGCTGAATCTAGTAGAAGATATGGTCTAAAACCATCCTTCTCGGTTTCTATGCAGCACATGGCTTTACATATGAGTGCTTACTCTGCTCTGGGAGTTGATACTCTCCAAAAACATACTAAGTCATGGAATTCAGCTTTGAGCTACTTAATGCTACATTTAGTAGTATGGTGGTGTTGGTGGTAATTGTGTTTTCACAATGTGGAAGCAATTTAGATTTATGGATTGAGTGTAAGAGATATTAGATTCATTGACTCTTGGGTCTATAGTGTTGTGATTATTGAATCATTGTGTATGGGTGTGGGTGTGTTTTAATCTGCATCATTTGGGGCCTTGATTTTATAATCTGACACCTACTTTTTTTGCTTTTAGTAATAAAGGAGTTAGGCTAAGAAGCTTTTTCTGTGTTCAGCAAAATCACAGGCTGATTTCATGAAAGTCAATATGAAAGACTCCCTTTTGATTTTAAGTTTTTGTCTCTTAGACCTGGGCTTTTATTCAGAATTTGGAAGGGGATGAGGAAAAAACTTAAGTTACATAATTTCTAGGAATTCCGTCAAGATCATATCTTAAATATTGCTCCCAAGCAGAGTAAAACATTGCTTCAACTTTTTTTTTATTCATTCTATAATTTAATTTTTATGTGTATTCTTTTATATGCCTTTACCTAAGTGGTAGAATGATGAAGGATTGCATTTCAGTATAGCAGAACAAACAGCTTAACACTGAATCCTAGTCATCCCAGTTGACAGAAGTTCTTTGGCCATTCCCCCTGCCAGGGAGTTTTTACTGGTGGTCGTTCTCACTCAGGCTCCAGCCTCCTGCATGGTGTGTACACATTTTCTGACAGTTCATGGCATGCATATACTGTAACACAGAGCATCAACACTGTAACACTTCCTAGGCTTCTCAGAAAATTCAGAGTGAGGAACTTATTCATGTTTTCCTCTCTTGGAGTATGTGCAGATGTTACTTTCTTGTGGGTTGGAAGTCTTTTTAGTATAAAGCAGCATAGTTACAAGTTACTACTTATAAGTTAGTAATACCCTCTCTCCCTTCCAATTCTGACTGTGTCCACACCTCACATTTGATGGAACAATAGTTTAAGTTAGTGTAATTCATGGTCTGTTAGGTTCCTTTTGAGTGATAGTTCCATTACTGTCAACATAGTTAAAAGGTATAATTATTTAGGTTGAAGGAAAATGTAAATGGATGCCAAATTTGGCTTTACTAGAGAAACAGCTACATTTGTCTTTTCTATTGTAGCTCACATGGAAAGGACAGTTTCAGGTACCGTGTATGCTAACTTCTTCTTGGACATTGTAAAGAACCCAACTAAAACAAAGTTTAAAACTATTTCAGATGTGCAAGTCTATTGAAGCCAATATTTTCTTTTAGAGATTTGTGCTATGTTTGACAAGTAACTCTTTGTACTGCAATTCTATGGCTTTCAATTAAAAAATATTGAAAATAAATTGCTGTCATGTCATTTTTCTGCTTAATTGCTATATGTTTATTTGCAAATTAGATTAATAATAAATAGGTGGTGAATACACATGAGTGCTTTTTTAATTAAAATATTTTTAGGAATAAGTTAGAGAAAAACATGTTTATATTTTGATAGAATATTGTATGTCGGATCAACAAATGCCCTAATGAACAAGTATCAACATTTGTTGCATTTATTTAGAGATTTCCAGAAGAGCTTGGATGCCCAAGAAGATCATAAAAAATCTTATTTCCTAATACATATGGTGTTAAGTGTGAGGGTTTTTTTTTTCCCAAAATAAAGTATGTTGTCTTTTGTGTAATAACATTGAAAAATGAACTGTCACAAATACTAAAACTGGGTATTCAATATACTATATTTGACTCAAGTGTTCACAGAGTGTGATGCAAACAAATGGTCTCTCATTTTTTTTTCCCAAAATAAAGTATGTTGTCTTTTGTGTAATAACATTGAAAAATGAACTGTCACAAATACTAAAACTGGGTATTCAATATACTATATTTGACTCAAGTGTTCACAGAGTGTGATGCAAACAAATGGTCTCTCAGCTTACATCCAGGTTAGCAAAAATACTACTTTGACACATGTTAAAAGTAGAGCACTGTAACTATTTGGTTAGATATAATTCCAGGCTGTCTAAATTGAGTAATTTCCTCAGGCATTCAGACTTTGATCAACCATAGCAAGAACTTTGAGCATGTCTGTAAAGCAGCCAGTGCATCTGTAAGTATGTCCTGAGGTAGAGAGAAAGAGAGAATGCCAAAAAAGAAAGAATACTTTCTGTCTTTAAAGAGCAGTTACAGAATGGAAATGGAAAGTTCTTTGTTTCCCTAGGAACTCTTTTTAGATAATTGAGCCTCTCATGTATAAGTATGCCCTGTGGTTTCTCTAATAATGAATGAAAAATACTTCATTTGGGTCTAGTAAAAATGTTTTCTGGCTAACTCTGCTGAAACTTAATGGTTAGAGTCCATTGGATCTTAAACTTTCCAGGCTTTATTAATGTAATATTAGTTAGCTGTGAACTTAACCATAAACAGTAGTATGTATCTCAGTAAAGCAAGTCTTAATTGTTTTTAATTGGCTAGTATTTGGGTGAAAATATTCTTACGTGACCCTGTTTTAGAGAAGAACATGCAGCACCATGGCAGAAATAATTTCATGTATCTTTGACTCAACACATGGCTGAAAATAGTTTTTCTGGGTTTTATTTTCAGTGACCTGAAAATGAATTTGCAAATATCTACTGGTTTCTGTATACAGGCATTAACTAAGAATGTTTGTAATAGTAATTGCCCTCTGCTATGTGAGAGCTCACATTTCCCATTTTTTTGGGACACAGCATGTTTGTGTCACGTGGATATAACTTCCCCTAGAGACCTTTTAAGGTGTAGGTAACACCACTTGCAAACTCGATATTAAATTGGAAATCCAGATACCATGACTCCACTTATCTCCACTTATGAAAATTCTGCTTTTTAGGCTAGTATTGTTTATTAGGAGAAATCTATAATCTTGTGATTACCATGTTGTAGATCTCTTTTATTGTCCACATTTTTTAATTAGTCATGGAAAACAAGGTTAACACAGTTAAATAAGTTTTACTAGTAGTAAAAAAAGTTTTTAATCATAGTTTCACCTTCTTGTCATTGAGAATTTTTCAGGACCGGACAAAGGACAGTATAATTGGGCCCATCCCTTATATCTTAGAAGTGGTATGAAGAAACGGCATATGGGCAAGTAGTGCGGGGAAGATGGAAGGGCAAGGCCTGGGCAAGTTAATGTGACTTTCATGGGCAGGGTACTTGGGCTGATATCTGAGTGGGTTATCTTTTTACTGTTTCTTTGTTTACCCAAGAATTTTTCTTCCTGCAAATATTGTCCATCTGAATGCTATAGTTTCTTCAAAATGTAATACTTGTTTAATTTCACATGCTTATTGCTTTGATCTTGAAATCACTAAAGGTCACACTAAGAAGATAAGAGCCAATTTTTACAAAAACTATGTGAGATCTGCTATCTAATTTATATATAATCATTATCCTTTAATTATTTTACCTGATTATCTCTTTGTCATTTTTTGCATATTACCAGAACACTGATATTCCTTCCATGTAATATATAAGTTTTAGTTGTATGGGTTGTTTCATTGTGTTTTGTTTTTGTTTTTGCTACAAACTACTAGCTCCAAAGAGAATACTATTTTCTCTTATCATTTTGGTAATGGGAGTTCACCATTGGATAAAGTTGTATTTGAAGTTGCCTGTACTAATGGTGATCAAGGTAGTCTTAAGAAAAATACCATGATCATTGTTCTTCTTGTGGATTCTGTGTAGAAAGCTTATCTGACTCATTTTGGAGAAACAAGTACGAGAAATTCTAATTGTCATAATCAGAAGATAGGTGGTATTTCTGACGACTAACCTGGGTCTTC